AACTGTTCACTGTTGAACAAAGGCCTCCGCCAAAAGGGAGATTTAACCAGTAGTTGCCACGCTTGGCAGGCGGATTGGCAACCACAGATAAGCTTTAATGATGTTTATTAATCTTTTAAGCTACTGTTCATCCCTCGACCATTAAGTTCCCCTAATCGACTCTTACGATACAAACGGGAAAGGAAGGCGTGGCCTATTTTATTACGGGCCGACACAGCAAATTATTATAAACTACAATAAATACATAGTAATAATAGCATAAAAAAAGGAATAAAGTCACATAAATACGAGTGCCGAGTAATAATGAGTAACATAGGTAAAATCTAGTAGTATAATAACAAAAAACTGTCCTAATACAATCATTCAATGGAAGTGACAAGTCGCCAAGCCACAAGATTAAAGTCTTTGCGTGATCCCAAACAAATTGGCCGACTAATGAGATAGTTGGGAAGCGGGCGCTGGGATTAGGTCTAAATGAATCAAACTTGCCCCAGACCCGGGTTTGATGCGATCGATTGCTTGCCTGTTATATATTACTCAAGTATTTGCCCCCTTAATAAAGAAGATTAGTGTTGGGATTTTCTAATTAAAGGCCCTTAACATGTTTTATTCTAGTATCTAAGGTATTGTTAATTAAACCGGCCGTCAATAAAATGTCTTATAGCAATTTATGTCCGATAATTGTCGTCTGATGATGTATGCCACTGAACTGCTGAACTGAACTGCTTTTTACTGCATTAAATTTCTATAATAATTGATAAAATGTGAGCAAGTCATATTTTTTAAACACAGAGGACAAACGAGCATGCGGCTCACCTAATGGTAAGTGACTACCGCCGCCCATGATCACCCATAACACCAGAGGCATTGCAGGTATGTTGCCGGCTTTTTAAAAAGAAATATATGCTATTCTTGAATATATAATATATATAATATTTCGCTAGGTATAAATATTATCTATTGTTGAATTGTTCAATGTTATGTTTTAATGTTCTTTATGATTGAAACTGTAAACATCTATTGTACAAACTGAAATCTAAATTCTTAGCATCATTTTAAGGACATGTTATATACCACTAAAACTTAACATTTTTTTACAAAGAAAAATGGGTCTAAATGTGACAACATGAGCCTCCATGACAGAAATGGCACAGATGGGACGCTCAAATTTAATGCTTAAAATTCACCCCATATTTTTTTGGGGAAAAAATCTAATCTAATGAGCCACTACATTACAACTTCAAAAAGTAGTAAGTTTTCTTTTGTATTTTGTTTAATATTTATTTTACAATTTAGATTTATATTTTCTTTATATTATTTAGGTTACAAACAAATATATAGCCATTCTGATGAACGGTTACTATAGCCTGTCGACGCCAACAACACTAGGGGTATCACGTGCGCATTCACGGACCTAATGAAACCTTAATACACCCTTTTTGAAGATGCTGTAGTCTCTAGGGAGAACCTTGGCAGGGAACTCATTTCACAACTAAACGTGTGCGACCTTTTAGGTTCTAGCGTATATGGTGGTGATTATGGGCATCATTTTGCATAATTTCCCAGAATACAATCCGTTATACAAGTGGTAAAACAAACAAAGGGAGGCCAAGTCTTGCTTTAGATATAAGAGCTCTACATTGTCAGTGCGCTTAGGATAGTCGACCATAAACGACGTACTACGTTCGTTGACAATTCTCATAGTCCGTCTTTAAACCGAATCAAAAGGACCAAGCTGGTATCCAGATATTCCGGCCTACAGATAAAAACAATACTTCGGGAGGAGCCAGACTTGCAACTTGTAAAACTATAATATATTTGATAGATTCCCATATTGATACCAAATAAAATTTTGGTATAATGAAAGTCGCTCTTTTTTTCCACAGCTATATATTTTCAGTTATTAATTCGGGCATATTAATTGTATACTTATCTAAATTTTTCTGTTTCAGAAATTTAATGCATATTTTAATAATAAAGGTCTGAGAAGTGGTTAGTGACTAAGCCAGTCGAAAACATCTGACCCTGCGAAAATCCCTAACGCATTAAATTTACAATGAGGCGCGGTTTTACCTTTTGCTGTAGGTATAATACCCGCTGTCCGTAGTTTACCTTTTTTATTAACATGCTGAAACGTTAACACTGAATGTTAATGGAGGTTGTTCTGGTAAACTAGTATATCTTTGCAGCAAGGCTGTCATATAAATAACTATTTCAAAAAATATATATTATACAGAAAATGTAGTCCTCATGTTACCACAGATAATTACACGCTAGAATCTAATTGATTGCATATAACGCGGTTTCAGAAGAATTTCCTTCCGCAAACAGGCAGGCTGTTAATGAACTCTTCCGTCTTCTTTTTTCTACTTGAGGAAAAACCACTGCCGAGCTTTTAGAAATTACAGTATAGGATTCTTCAAAAAGGGTGTATAAAAATTTTTTGAGAGATGGCAACGCGTACGTGACATTTCTGGTGTTGCAGTCATCCATAGGCTACAATAACCATTTACTACCAGTCAGGTCGTATGCTTGATGCTTCTTGTTGGTCATACCTTAGTGATAAGAAAGAAGATAATAGAATATTATAAAATAATATAATTTAATTTATAATAGACATTTCAAGTTATTGACATATGTATGTATGAAGAGTGCCATAGACATGATAGAGTTTATTTATGATATCCGTGGTGGGGTTCATGTCTATTTCTATGTTAGTAGTCTTCTGCATATACTTAATAATAAACAACATAAAGTAGGTAGACACAAATGTTTGTATTTTCTCCCAGATTGCAATATACAAGTAGACAAGTTATACCTATATGGAAATAATATTATCATAATTCATAAGTATTACCTATTTATTATCACTTAAAAAAAATACAAGCCATAAACAACAATGCACATTTCCATTTTTATCCTAGCGCAATAAAAAATAATAAGCCCGAATGCTTGCACAGCACCCTTAAGCTCCTTTGATCGTTATATTTTTATAATGTCCACGTATTTCTACGATGCTTTTTACGAGCGAGCTCACCTACCACCTACCCAATATTACTTTTTTACAGCCAGGCTATCATCACGCGCCGAAGTTTTCTCATGATATTAGAAATGTCCTTTTATACCCAGTACAGGATGACTGCTATATAAACAATGTAATCCCATAAAAATGTAATATGGACTAATATTAATAATAAATAAGCTTATCTTTCATTTATGTAGTTACAACTGCTTTATACATAAAGGATCAGTAAGTTTATATATTAACAAAAACTTTAAATCTCAATATGTTTTTTTTAATGCATGACAATGAAGTGTACACGCTGTATACGCTGGCGGGGCACCAGTGAGATGAAAAGGCAGGTTAGTTAACCCATCGTCATGAATACACCAGGATTTCTTCATTTTCAGGATTTTTTCAGGATGATTTCCATCATCAGGATTTTTTCAGGATGATTTCCAGGGGGGGGGGGGGGGTACAAGATCAACCTAATTGAGTATATTCCTAGCGATATAACTGATAATCCGCATCCATATTACTAACAAACCCTTCCCCCCCCCATTTCTATATGCAGCACCAATTCAAAACTCAGGACTACGAATAAAGCCTTGATTAATCTAAATAAATAAAAATCTTATACCAAATAGATGGAAAGGAACAAATTATTACTAATGGTGCCTAAGAGCTCCATTACTAACAATATACCCTATTATACAGGGGGACCCCTGATAGCTAGGTGAGGTAGATTAATGGGTTCATCATAATGAATGTGGAAATCCTCATCGCGATGAAGCAACTAACCTAATTTCAAAGTAGCTTATTTGAAAACACCGCATGAAGGATGACCTGACGGGAATATTGTAAGCAATGGGGTAGCTAGACCCTGTTACTAACAATCCCCTCCTCCCAACAACATGTTGGTGTTGGCTGGTGGTGAAATTATCACGACAGACAAACTACCCTTTTTTATCTTTATATATTTAAGGACTTTTGTCCTTTTAGGCACGTCAGTCCCATCGTACCTTAATAAATTTTAGAACATCATTGCATGTATTTAACAATTAAAAGATACCACCCACCAAATCAAATAACATGAACGAAAGGAATGTCGTAGAAAAATTATATGATTTACATAGCTGGAAAAGAGAAAGAAAAAAACTTAATAATTTATGGTCAGACGTAGGCCTCAAGGCAGATAGATCTACGTTAAAACCTACATCCAACCATATCATCGACGAGAGGTCTGCTAGAATGGCATGAAACATTCCTATATTATTTTTATTAATCATTTCTTTCCTCTCTTTGTTATTCTTCCATCGGGACGTGTTGAATATCATCGATTAAGCCACATTCCTGACAGTTAGGCGATTCTATTTTCTTCTTGAAGTGTCCAAACTTAACTGACGGAATGTGTCCAGAACGTATTCTATGAGCTAGAACCACATGATATCTACTTACATTACAATAAATAATCCACTGTATACGAGGAGGTTGACCTTGTAAGGTCCTATACCACATACCTTTGGTCTTCGAAACATTATCATGACTATCTTCTATACTCTATCTATGATAGTTCAGATCCATTTGCAATAGCTAATTTAGCTAAATGTTTAGCCTCGTTAAATCTAATTCAAACATGCTATGGAACCCATTGCACTATCAGAGCGATCCCTCTTTGTTTAAGAAGGTATATTTTATTTAGTATATTATATGCAATCGATATACCTCTGCATCTAGAGACACTGTTGAACTGTGTTGAAGGGCGCTCTTGCTATCTATACTCGTACTATACATTAAAGAATTTTTTAAATTCTCAGAATATCTAGAGGTGACGGTTACCACTTTTCATCAAAAGGGCCGTCAGCTTGCCATTCTAAGGTACATAAAAAAATTGGTTAAACTTTTTTTTTAATTTATCCATTCCAAAAAAGTAAACAATAATAGGGGGAGGTCCCCCAGAACCGGACACTTAAGGAATAACAAAAATAAAAAAATCGCGTAATAGTCTAATTTTTTTATTTCACTTTAATAAGCTTTTAACTATATACGTAATCAACTCAGATATATCAGCAGTCTTAAATGTTACTTTAAATGTGGTAAATACTAAGGAACAATTAACATAGAAAAAAGGACGTGCCCAAAAAGGTCCCCTAATGCCGGACAGACATTTTTTCGTTCATTTTCAAACTTAAACATTATTATAACTAAACAGTTCCAATCTACCTAATGTATAATCTAATTTAATAACTTTAACTGTTAATAAAAAAAAAACTAATCGTAATTCTAATAAACTTTGGTCATAATCAGGAACGTTTTTATAGAATCACAAAACTTTAATTGTACAATTTGCAAAAATCACAAATGTAGCTAACTGAACCCTCTTCAACATCAGCACACGCTTCATGAGCCCACTGACTGCAAACTTCAAGCTATCAATATTTTTAGTCGGGTCGTTAGTTTTCTTGCCTTTCAGTTGTTGCATTTTAACTACAAGAGGTTTAGCCTTTGTTGCCTTCTTTTCAATGCGCGCATCTTTGTAGGGGGAGGATGTTAAAATCTGACTTTTCTCAGCTTTTCGTCGTCGACTCACGACTCTCTTTGCTGCAGTGCTTGAGACTGGTGATAGCTGATGAATTACAGTGAGAATTGCTTTGCTTATTGACGGTTGTGTATCAACATTCTCCTTTTCATTGACGTCGAAAGGCTTCTGAGACAGATCTCCGGGTGTACCCGTATAAGCGTCATTGCAAATGTTAACTTTAGCTGTTGAAGTCTGATGATGAACTTCAGCAGCAAAATAATAACTATAACGAAAACAAACTTGCTATAAAACTGTCAGGTATTAGGGAACTTTGAGAGTGTCGGAACTCAAGGACCCTCAGGTACATACAAGAAAAATTTTCATTCAAATTGTGTATTTATAAATCATAAAAAACGCATGAATTATGTCAGATTAGAACAATAGCAATAATTATTAATAATAAAGAATATTATTCCATACTTTAAATACTGTTTACAAATCCCAAAAAGTTACTTCAAACAAAATTTTTACCAACCTAAAAATTTAGACCAAGTTTTACGACGAACCAGTCAGTACTGACTATTGACTCTCCCTCCCTCGAACTTCACTTGAGATAACCTTTCTAACCGTGGCAAAAGCAACAAATTGGCGCGCTTCTTCGCTCCGATTTAAACTATGTCGGGCTTTAGGAGCCGTCCGGGCTTAGGGAACTTCCCCCTATATATAAATACATAAAAATCAAGTCTTTCCTCATTATAGTATTAGTATAAACTAGAATTATTATAAACGTACAACAGCATAATTAAATTGGATACTAAAAGTAAACAGTCTATTTAAAAACAAAATCATACATAATTATATGAAGAAAAAGGGTAATATAAAGTTACTAGCTTTTAAGATGCTCAAGCATTCAACAAACCATGGTGGTTATTCGTCGCTAGAAAAATACAAAAAATACCACTCACATTCTCATACAAAAGATGTTTAAAGCTACTTAAACGAAAACTAATTCAAAAAAGTAATAGCATTTATTTTCAATTTATTTGTAATTTAATTATTTGATAATTGTCATATATATCGACATCATAATTTTAGTGGAATTTTACATGAATAATCTGTACCTGCTTAAAATAAAATTTAAAAAAATATCATATCGCAGGACAAGACACGATAAGGAGTCACATATTTATTTATAAAACTTTTTGCCTAGACGTTATATTTTGACAAAGATTGTATTAAATTATACATAGTAGTGATGTTGTAAAAATATCGCCCTCTAGTGTGAAGAATTTCTAAACGCCTCCTACATATATGCACGAATACGTCTGGCTTGGCTAATTGTACGAATGCACAAAATTATAATCATCTTTAAATGATCAAAACATAAATTTGACGTAAAGGTTTTTTTTTTTCTTTCTTTTATGGCGTTCACCCCGATATTAAGGTATTTTGCCAAGAACAAAACGGGGAAACGATAGTAGTAATAAAAATACCTAACACAAACGAATTTAGAAAGGATAAGGATTAGGTCTAAGATATTTATAGGATATGAAGGATATACTTGTACATATGAGAATATACTTATAAATATATAGGAAAATCAAATGACGCATAAAGGACAGACATAAAGGTTTAGGATAGAGGTTGAACTTGGGATTCACAAACCATAGTCAAGCGTTTTTATTGACAAACGTCACTAATTGACTAAAAATTTATAATTAAAATGCGCTATTTTTCTATGAACCTATTTAAATTTTGATTGTGCATCTTGGGTTTTTTTATTTAACGATGTGTAAAATTTACTCCTTTCTATTTGATGGGTTTTATAGGAAACAATCTAGGTATGAAAGGGATAACGGAAAGGACATAAGGACTCACCGTCTTGTCGTGGGCTATTATATGATGTCCTGCAAACGTGCAAGACAAACAAACGCTGTAGGAAATTAACACTAATTCTACATGTTTAAACTAGTTTCAATATTTAACTTTTGAAGTCAACTCAACTCCAACAAACTCAAGAGTTGCATAATCGTAGCTAGACTATTTACCAAGATTTCGATATCATGATACCTTGGATCAAAATTTAATAAATCGGAACATAATTTCTCACTGAATTTTTTAATTTCAATTTCATTGATTTTTTATTATATATTTATTTATTTTATTCTTACAATGAAATAAATGTAATTATATTTTTAGACGCCCTAAAGGTGACAAGTAAGTATAGTACCTGTCTGATGGTAAACAGCTATGAAAAGAGACTATTCAATTGTAATTTATTTGTGCCTATCTATAGGTATGCCTTGTAGTAGACACACCATGCAAACATCAGAATTTGTTGTCGCTTCACAACTCCAACGTCTAAGAAAACAACTTCCTCTCAAAGGGGAGCAATTTATTTAATGGAGCAGATAGTTGTTTCTCCACAATTTTCACAGCATTCGAGTGCCTTTCACACTGACTACAGCACTTTTGATAATACATTTACACAAGACAAATAAAGTCAATAGCAATAGTAATAAACTTCGTGGTTGTACGAGTATATCCTATAGTGTCATTTCTAGATACAAAAATACACAATAATTAACAATACGAATCTAGCCGACTCCAACTGCGTGTCAATTTTTTTTTCAATCAAATCTCTTATTGCACATTAATACAAAAACCTAAAAATTAAAAAAAAACTTAAAAATAGGAAAGGTTTTATTTTTCTTTTAAAAGGAATAAATTTAAAAATACTTAACATGTTTTCAAAAATTCTTTCACTTATAAAAAGCTGCATTATCAGGGAGCAAAAGGTAATGTATTTTATTAAAAAAAAAATAGGTTCTCTATACTGTCTATCCTTGCAAAGCCTGGGCAAGTCGCTAATTTCAAATAAGTATATAAATTAAATATAGGCTGTCATGCCCCTGTCATATCAAATTCAATAAATTAAAATGCAAATAACAGTACATACAGAAAAAAAAACCATTTTTAAACATAGTAAAATTTCTAGATACGTCATAGAACGTTCTAAAAACTACATAAAACACAGAGACATCATAAAGTCTTAAGATGTTTTCATGAAATTTATATATTTTTTATTAGGTTTGTAGAAATTTTATTCAAGTTCCAACATGGTTTATTGAAAGTCTATGATATAGATATATATCATAGACTTTCTTCTTATATGATATATATATATATATATATATATATATATATATATATATATATATATATATATATATTATATATATATATATATATATATATATATATATATATATTTAATAGTCAAAATATTTACTGCCACCCGCACTTACGTCCCACTGGTTTTTCTGCCGTGAAACTTTGTACTTCGCATTACCTAAATTTCAGTTTTAAGTGACATACATACATAGACATAGTGATGGCAATGAAATTACACAATATAGAAGCATAACACCATACTACTCGGGAATAACACCACATGGAGGGCACCATGGGCTTCACTGTATTTTATGATGTCCTCGGCGACAGTTACCACTTCCCATCAGGATGCAGTTGTTTGATGTTTTTTAGATTTCGTTTAACATTCTAAGTTGCATGAAAAAAATAAAACATGCTATCAAGAATATATAAGTAATATTAATGAGACAAAAATATATTAAACTAAAAACCTGCCTGGCTTCGCATGGGGACAATATTTGTTTATGTAACTTTTAAACTGTTGCTGTTACTGGTATTTTGGCGTGTGTGAAAGTACTATACTAATATTCTCTAAGATATTAAAATGATCGACCTATTTAGCAATTCGATCGGGTTAGAATATAGTATAGATATAAGTTTAAAATGTTTGGAGTTAATTTAATATTAAGTAGTATTAGAAAATTTAAAACAGTTATCTAACTTTAATTTCTTTATTTATGAAAATAACCAACAAAGCATACATATATAATATAAATTTTATATCAACTTAAAATTTTGTATGCACGTCAGTCCACAAATTTTGGCGCCCTTTTCTATATTTATTAATAATACGGTCCGTAGACAATCAAACACCGATCAGTTTATAAAATATAAAACACTAAGTATAGTTATCTCTTTTAACCATTTGCAGAACAGACGTCAGTCTCTATAATTTATCTGTGCTTCTCTATCTATCTATATTGACTATCTCTATCTTATTCATTTTTTTCCAGTTACATGTCATTTCTGCTGTCTTCAATACTTGAATTTAATACAATTTTGAATTTAAATTTAATACTACTGAAAAGTAATACCATTTTAGTGTTTTATATTCCAACGTAATCTTAGTTTATAATATTTTAACGCATATAACGTAATCTTATATCTATATCCTTTTAGGAAGACAATCAAACAATGGCCTTAATCGCTGAAAATAAGAAAATCCTAGAGTTTTTAGAGTTGGTGGGTCGCTTAAAGGTAATTATAACTAATAATTCACAACTATTTTTATGTATTTATTGTAAACTTTGAATTGCCAACTCAAGAGTAGATAAGAATTGTACTAATCAAAATATCTTATCTTTCCTTACAGCACGTTAAAAGGACTGGTTGGGTAATTTGTAACATTGATGAGTGTGAGAGTATTGCTGGACACATGTACCGTATGGGACTGATGACCTTCCTTCTTACAGAAGAAAACAATCCTACTAACTTAGATCGGTTTAGATGTCTTCAAATAGGTAATTAGAACTTGCATGTGACCAGAAACCACTTTGTAGCTTGTTAATAAATATTAAAAATACAAAACAATGTTCTCACATCCATTTGCTGTAGCTACTATCTCTATTACCAAATCTCAGTCAAGGTGTCTAATATATTATTTGACTAAAAGTACATTAAAAAAAATAAAATATTGCTTAACTTACCATGTTCCATCAGGTAGACTGACAGCTTACTTGGCATTTTCAAATAAATAAAAACCCTACCTAAAAGTAATAAAAGCTTATTGAATTCATATGTTCCTTTAAATTATAAAATTATATTTTATTTCTATAATATATATAACTTATTTCCCGTATTGAACAGCACCTTGAATATATTTGTAGATATTATCACATCATCCATGCTAATCCTCATCATGCATTAAATATACAATAGCCTAAATAAGAGGCGAAATATTGAAATGGAGTTTAATTTACATTCATAAGCCTCATGTATAACAGTCTGAGAACTAAGCTGTTACATCTTCTTGTAATTGCACTTCGTTCTTGCTTAAAATGTTGCTAAAATGTTTTATATTTCACAGCCCTTGTCCATGACTTAGCAGAATGTATTGTGGGTGATATAACACCCCATTGTGGAGTCACTCCAGAAGAAAAACATTGTCAAGAAGATGAGGCAATGAAAAAAATTGCAGAATTAACTGGTATTGCAGGCGATAGAATGTACGAACTGTATAAGGTGAGCATAACCTAAATCAACCTTTTTTTTATTGCAACCTGTCTTGAATAACATTCAGCGAGTATTAAAAAAGTAAAAGAATTGATAAATAGCCATAATTATTTAACAAATTTCATAGCCACAGAGTGTCATCTACTTCTATCTTATTATACTTTTTTATTATTTAGTAACTATATCCCATGGCTAAATAAATTATTATAAAGTAAATTATGTTTTAAACCATATAAAATTTTGTCTATGTATTTAATTTTAAATTTACGATCAGGACTTAATGTGACACGATTTTAGGTAAATTGTATGTTCTTACTGATTTCTATTGTTTTCATTTACTGACTTAATATATATATATATATATATATATATATATATATATATATATATATATAAAATATTTAACATATCATTAGCATCTGCCTTCATACTTCAGCACTCTATTTATTGTAGTAAAATATTATGGCTTTTAAAACCTTTGATCATTAGTGATCTATTGGGAATTTAATATTGTTATATATGAAATTACAGGAATATGAAAATCAAAGCTCTCCAGAGGCACAGTTTGCAAAAGATTTGGATCGCTATGATATGATACTGCAAGCTTTTGAATATGAAAAACGTGAAAATTCACCAAACAGATTACAAGAATTCTTCTCTGCCACAGAAGGCAAATTTAAACACCCATTTATAAAAGACTTAGTTAATGAATTGTATAGGCAAAGACAAGAATTTGAATCTAAGACAATAGTGAATGGAAATGCATAATTCATTTGTATAATATTCATATTACTTAGCTTTTGCTGTAAATATGAAAGATTTGCAATTATCTTCAGCTAATCTTACTTCATTAGTGATAATTCTCCTACTTATGTTATACTCCTGTAATACATATATTACAAAAATAATTTTTAAACAAACATAATAACATTTATTATTAAATTACTTTTTAAAAGTTTTCATTACAAAATACTTTATGTGTATAACACATAAAATAGTAAATTTATCTTTGCTATTGTATCTCTAAGTTATCAAAGCATTAAGTTTTGATTAATTAAAAAGATGTGCTTTTAGTAATGTTTAAGCTTTTTTTTTAATATTATGAATGTTACCATGTTGAAATAGCTGTACATTATACCGTTTTAAGTATAAAAGGTTTAAATTACCAAAATAAAAGTTTATTAAGAATATGATAGAGAGAAATAATTTATAAATATTTCATAACAATCTTCAGTTTAAAAAGGAAATTGTCAAATTTTTATATTAGATATGTTTTAAGCATATGATAATCTAGTAGTAAGTAATCTGTAAGTAATAAGTGCCTTTTCACATGTAGCAACTGCGGCTAATTACCGGCTCAGTACTTGAAAATATTAAATAGTATACAATCTAGATAGGTTATCAAACTTCAAAATAATCACCTTCCGGATCGCAACTGTAAAAACCGCATCTAATTTGATATCTATTACACCAAATCTTTTACCGAGCAAAATATATGGACAGCCAGTAGACAGACCTCTTAAATATTTCAACAATAAACTTTTTAATTTTAATAATTAAAACATTTTATCTGTTTTACTTTTGTATTTAGTTGGGATCTATAACAGCTTTTACATATCCGTTATCAGCAATCGCATCATGTGGAAAGGCACTTCGCTGCCGGTTACACAAAATATATGTGGTGCGAACAGTTGAAATGTATAAAAAGCACTTACTCCATGATAACAGATATTTATCTTGCGTTTAAATTTTTAGTAGTAAATTAATTAAATCCTAATTTACTTCAAATAATTTAGATTCAAAGTTTACAAAAACAAATTATCAAAAAACTTTAAGTGTGTAGGTGGAGGGGGAAGAGAAGGTTACGATCAACCTTATAAAATTTCAAAGGAAATTGTTTAGTAATGACATGCTTAATTTTCATATAAATTGAGTTGCATCATCTGTTTATCTCTATGTGTATGTAATTTGCGATTGATAGTTTTCTAGGTTTTATGTGCACAATATAAACCAAGTAACTCTGATATTAGAATGTGCATACATGTACATAGTGTCTATGTAGTATTGATAAAATGTGTTCATTTTGCATGTTATGTAAAAATTGTACATGTAAAATTAAATTTAATATGTACAATAAAATGTTTTAATAACACCAAAGTACATTTTGTCATAATTTATAATAATTTTTATATTCAACAAAACATTAATTATTTACATTGTAAATGTAAATATAAAATTAACAATGTTAGTATCGACTTTTTTCCCAACTTCTTAAAGATACTTAAGAATATAATATTTTAATAAGTATAGAAAAATTTTTTTGAATCTATGTTAGACTTGTATGATTAGAGATAGGATACGCTTAATTGTTTCCCCCAAATTAATATGTTACTACTATCGGCCTTGGAGAAAGTCGCGCGACGCTCGGGAGTGCCCTAAGATCAGTGTCTCAGAAAATTGATGTTGAGTCTTGGAGTCTGGATAACCCGTTTTTTTGTCGTCGCGGAGGCACCATCAGACACTTGTTAAGGTCACTAGATAGGCTAAGGCCACCCCTGTATGTTTCTTTTTAATGAATGATACTGGAATGATAACTGCGCCGGCGTTATCAGTATGAAAGTGTGCCCATGGAGATAAATTCATGAAGATTAATCACCATGGTTTCTAAAAGAAACCGCCTGAATATCGACCTGATAGAGTATATTGCAATAGAGCTGCTTGTCCCCATTACTATCTCTTTTCCCCCCGATCTACCTATACCCTAATGTTCTCTTCTTAGTCTTAATTATTCTGACTGTAAATGTCAATTCAAATCTTGTATTACATATGGGTATTTTGATAATCACATACATAGTGTATTGATGTAATTTGTTCTCACATAGTATTCAAGTAACTTGAAACTAGTTGTGCCCACTACAAGGTCCTGACTGGTAGTGGCGTAGTGTGTCGGGGCATTGGGTTCCCTAAAATGTGGTGGAGCGCAATGATGACTAAGTCATCCGTCATACTCGTGAATGGATGCTCCTTGTGGGAACTGGTTTATTCATGTTTACTTGTTTATTTACTATTGAATAATACATATAAATATAACTTAATGCTAATTATAGTCACAATATGGTTATTGTGACTTATACAAATGTAAAATTATCTTGTACATAATAATTTGAAAAAAGAATCTGTTGAGTTTCTTGAGAATTCTTCGCAGCAAATAATAACGTTCCGAATCCAGCTGTAGAATCATAAAAAACTAACGATTGTAAAGAAGTCTATTTCTATTTCTGCTATTGTAATAAGTATAATGGAAACATATATTAATAATTATCAATTTCAATATGTTGGCTTATTTAAGTTACCTGTAATATCATTCAATACGTTAATAGGCTGCAATATTTTTTTTTTCAGATAAAATAATATGTTTCATACAAATTACTGACAACAATTTCACACAATTATTTTTGTCTTAACATCACAAAAATGTAAACACAAAAAATTTTATAAACAGCAACTTATATTTTTTTTATCGTCGCATGTTCATCTAATAGATAGACAAAAAGTACTTAACTTTTTTCTTTGTTATTACTGTTTAATTTACGAGAATTGTAAAAATAATAAATGCTTTTTTTATTGTTTGAAGTTGAAATATAATAAAATAGTTTTTTTTTTTTAATTGGAGCTTATTACAATGTTTATTTTTAACATTAGATGTGTTATTTTTTAAATATTTATTTTTTATTAATTATTGATTAAATTTGTATTATATTACTCTTATTACTTTTCATTTCGTAATAACCGCCTCGCGGTACCCTAGAGCTTAGTGTATATTTATTATATGCTCATTCAAATTTAGTCCGTGCGCCAGTGCGCTAGTTGACCTCATTTCACAGAAAAACCCTCGCATTCAATGATTAATGAAATAAATAGTTTGTTATAGATATGTGCGCCGTGTGGTCCCAGCAAAGAATGAGGCACCCCTTTCCTGTGGGTGTCGTAAAAGGCGACTGAGGAAACTTAACCTTCCAACCCTCTTGTCAAGCGTGGCTATTATTGGCAAATCTCTCCTTATAGAGGTCTATTTTCAGCATTGGATAGTTAACAGTTGATATGAACGAACTGAGAAGCAAAGTGCTTAAGAGCTCCATAACCAGTTCGACATTGAGTAGATGCAGGTCCAAAATTCGTCCACTTCAAAATTTTTTATTTTAATTATTTATGATAAAATCGGACTGAAGTTTCAAGAATTGGTTGGCTAATTTTTTTTTTTTAATGGGTGATAATGAAGTGGTAACCCTGCCTGCGCTATCGGTATACGCTAACGGGACACCCGTGAGGGGTGATAAGTGAGTATGAAAGCAGATCCGTTAGCCCATCGTGATGAATTCCACTAGAATTAAACACAATAGTTTCAAAGAGGAACCGCGTGGAGGTCGATCTGATAAAGTGTATTACTAGTAATGGGGGGATTGTTAGCAATGGAATTTAACAGCCTATTGCCAGCAATTTGCTCTATTAGGTCGACCTCCATGTGGAAACCATCATGAACAATTCTTGTTGAATTCGTCACTATGGGCTAACCGACCTACTTCATCTTCACCTATCATCCTTCACTGGCGCGTGCCTCGCCGGTGTATACCGATAGCGCGGGCGGGGTGGACCATTCCATTATCACACATTAAAAAAAAACTAGTAATGAAATTAGAACCCATTACTAACAATCCCTTTCCCACCGAATTGGTTAGGTAGATAAATAATAGGATTTGGACAACTATCCTGGTGGATACAAAATTATAAAATGACAGTATTTATTTCTGGGTTGGATATTCAGATGTTAGATGCCTTACTCAATAACATGCTTGAACCAATCTAGTTTCTCTTGAGAGTTAACACCTAAGACTTGCAGAAAAGCAATGTATAGAACATGTAAAAAATAAAAATCAACAAATCTTTATATATACTTTTTATTTTACAAAAAATGGGTAGGCAGTAGTATTGTGTACAAACATAAAATTCTCAGTCAGATTAGATTTTAATTAATCCTAACTTAGATGTCCAGAATTACTACTCAGTATACTTATCAGATCATATAGGAAATGTCACATGTTAAAAAATCTACCTACCCAGTTTAAACATACCCAAACCGTCATATATTTTTGTTTATTTAATATGACAAATTACAAAATCAATAAAAGAAAACAATGGATCGTCATTGGGTAGTTTATTAAATTAGGCTTTATGGTAAAACTGACAATTAAAAAAGTAAATAAATGTAAATTAAAGAGAATTGCTTAGGTATCACATTAACAATTTCAGCTCTCTGCAAAAAAGCCTGAAATGTTTAGTGTTCATATTAATATGGAGCACTTTTAAATTGTATGTGCAATATTAATTTACAGTTTGTTTCTGATTTGCTGCTACTTGCTCTTCTTTTTTTCGTTGCTTTTCTCTCATTAATTCAGCATCTCTGAAAAAATTAAATCATACAATTGTAAAAAAAATATAGATTGCATACTTGTATCATCAAGTGCAGAAAGAAAAGAAAGCTACCGATTTAAAGAGAACAAGGATGTTATTGGAAATATGACATAATTATGTAATAATACAACTGTGAAATAGATTTCATTTAAATTTAATTTATTTGACCAAAATAATATGCATAATATTAATTTTGTTTTTTTCAAGCTGTAATTGCTGTTGGCTACAAATGGCTTTTACAGCTTCACTGGGTGTGTGCAGTCCATTTGCCAAAGTAATTAGATCATTGGGGTCTAAGAGTGTGTGTCTCAATCACAATCTCAATTTACATCAAAATATTTATTGCATAATACAAACATACATAATAAGCCTGTCTATATAACCACATATATGTATATAAGTAATAAAAAATAAAATGACAGCTCCAAAACAAAGTGGTATATATATATAAATAAACATTTTTCACAATATAATACAAGATGATGTACATCTGAAATAAGCCACATTTCAGATACATACATCACTGTGTGACATTTTTAGGATTTATATATTACTAGCGTTTACCTGCAATTTAATCCAAGTGACCCGACAGCTTATGTACTTACTCAATCACATATAGTATATATTAAATTTCATAGAGATTAGTTAAGCTGTTAAAAGGTAACTAACAAACAAACTCATTTTCACATTTATATTAGTAAGGATTCCTTAAATTGAGTTAGATTAAATTTAGTTAAATTACATTTATCTATTTTAATATAGATATTATTTTTTTTTCTTACTATATATCATTTACCTATGTTTCCTTTCAGAGAGAGACATGCCAGTTTTCTCACTGGCATTCTTTTTTTTCTGCATTTCTTGCTGCTTTTTTTGGTTCTTGGCACGTGCCAAATCTCTCTGATTTCCACCTGTTAATTAACCATACATATTAAAACATACTAGGCTCAAATCCAAGCAACTAAAAGGCCCATAAAAAAAGCGTAAAATTTAGGCGTTACAACACTGATGTTGTCATACGTTCTAGACATTTCTATATCGTCACAACATAACCCATGCAAATTCACGAGTGATTCTACGTTGTAAATACCGGTATTTAGTATTGTTTTTTTACCATTTTTTTTTTTTGTTTAACAAATTAGGATGGATTACTCACGGGTCATCGTGGCCTATTTTGTCAAAGCCAACAAAGTTGAATTCGTCGCAATAGTGATTATGAAAGGCCCGGACGATACGCTAGTCCGGTCGAAACCTAGGACAACGCACCGCCCTCCTTTTTCCCAATCCTAAAGAAACTTGTAAACAACTAAAAGATAATAGCTGGCTTATAATGTAAAGCCCGAGCCAGCTGGTCACAACCACAAACAAAACGATACCAATTTAATCATGGCGGCAAGCACCATGGCTACCAATAGTAAAAAAATATTTTTTTTTTAAATTGCATGTTTTTGATTCCTACTTATATGATTTAAAAATGAGTTCAAATCACTGGGATGTACCTAATGTATTTGTTTAAGAAAATTTTATAATAAAGAAGAGATTGTATTGCAAACTAATAAAACTATCGTAGCAGTTTTCAAGTATCTTCTTACATATCATTCGCCACCATTTTTTTTATGGATGATTATGGAATGGTAACCCCGCCTGCACTAACAATATATGCTGGCGGCGGGGCATCAGTGACGAATGATAATCCTCATTACTAACAATCCTTCCCTCCTGGAGGAAAGGAATTGTTAGTAATAGAACCAAATCGCCATTACTAGCAATGTATCCTGTCAGGTCGACCTCTACGCGATTCCCCTGGAAACCATCGTAATTAATTCTAATGGAATTCGTCACGATGGGCTATCTGACCAGCTTTCATTGTCATCTATTATCCCTCACTTGTGCCCCGCCAGTATATACCGATAGCGCGGGCGGAGTTACCATTCTATTATCACTCCTTGAAAAAATCCCTGTCAGGTCGATCTCCACTCGATTCCCCCTAGAAACCATTGTGGTTAATTCCAATTAAATTTGTCAGAATGGGCTAACTGACCTGCTTTTATCTTCATCAGGCATCTATCACTGGTGCCCCGCCAGTGTATACCGATAACGCAGACGGAGTAACCATACCATTATCACGCATTTAAAAAAACACCGCTCCTCCACTTATCGCCGCCTGTTAAGCATTGTATTATATTGTATTGTATGTACTATTGTTTGTAGATAATATTTGAAAAGTTTTGTTATAAATTGTAAAATCGTAGATGTAGATATTTACTGTATTAGCAAAAAAAAATAAAAATTGTTTAAAATAAATTGTTTAAAAAATGTATTAAGATTTTTTAATTTTTTTTTCAAAAATCTGTAGATTTTCAATTTGGAATTCGTATTCATTAATTTTTATTCTCAAATTGTTATAGACATTGTATTCCATGTCAAATTTCTTATTAGTTAATGACTCTCTACGGCGCGATTTTTTTTTTTGTTACTATCTAGTATGGTTTTATCTTATCCACACTCTAGTTGTGTAGGTTCGATGGTAGAAATAATAATAGTGGTAGTTTTTAGTAGGTAAAAATTATCTACGACTATAGACAAATATCAATAATAAAAAAAATATAAGTCAAAAAATTAAAAAAATTGTAAACAGTCTGTCAACATGTCGGTCAATGCACAGGTTCACTTGGGTAACAATGAAAATAATAAAAAAACAGAAAAATCACCTAGACCATTGTTTCCAAAGAGAGAAGATTGTTCACATGTGTCTTGTTACTGGTAAGAAATAATTTTTGCAATGTGACAGTGATTTAAGGAAATATTTAATGTCTTTATTTTATTGCTTTGTTGTGTGTCTTTGATGTTACAGCGAAGAAAACGTCTGGAAACTATGTCAAGATGCGGCGTTAAGAGTTCCAGAGGAAATGGACAGATGTTTCGTTGTTTTTATTTCAAACCCGCATCGCACAGTACCTCTTTGGAAACAAAGGGCTGGGCGTGAAGATGACCGTCTCGTCATATGGGTGTGTACCAAAACTATGCCGTACTATGCATTTTTGTTGTTATTAATACAATATAACTTATAAGTAACAAATTTGTTAAATTGCATTTACACATTTTCTTTGTTTTAGGACTATCATGTGATATTTCTGTACTCCTGGGACTCCAAGACCTGCCTTGTCTATGACTTGGACTCAGAGTTGCCTTTTCCTACTTTTTTCCATAAATATGTTACAGAAACATTTCGCACTGACCAAGTTTTAAAATCTGATTACCACAGGTATTTTTTAACAAATTAATATTATTTAATAACTTTTCTAGTCTGTTATCGTACTTATGTGATAAACATAATAATTATTTTAATTACAGATTCTTTCGTGTTGTGCCTGCTAAGCAGTTTTTGCAAAATTTTGCTTCGGATCGCCGTCATATGAAAAGGCCTGATGGTTCATGGATCAAACCTCCACCTTCCTATCCCGCCATATATACTATAAGTATGTATTAGAAATATTAATTTCCTAACAATTTCAATAGTTCTATTAAAACTATTAGGTAATGAATAAAATTCACTTTCAGATTACATTACTATTTGTGTATGACTTTGTCATTGTTACTAGATTAATAAATAATCATGAATGAAATAAATAATATGAAAATACATATCATATGCTATGTATATGTACCAAATTTTATGAAAATTGGTTGAGCTGTTTAAGCACCAAAATGTGAAATGATCTTAACATACTTACCATACTCACTTTAATATTTATAATAGTGAGGATATTTATGTAATTCTATTATTTTGCATTCACTATTTCCATGTGTATTAACTTATTCATAACATTCATTACAGATTCAACTCATAATTTAGATGAATACATCAATATGGATTTCTCCTTGGGTCCAGGTCAGGTATTTAATTTAACAGATTTTGTGCAGCGATTCTATAAGATAAATAAGTAGTACAAAGATGAATTTGTTAGATAGTCAAATATTATTTTAAATTTTGTTTCATGACCTTAACGGTTTATGACTTTAGTTGATTATGTTTTAATAATCTTTGTTATTTAGTTATTTTGCAGTGTATCTAGAATTTTACATATTTTATTATCCAAAATTTATTAATATTCATTTAATCTTGTTCTTTTCTTATATTGATGTGTCAGTTTTCTAAGAACGACAAAATAAAGAAAAGTTATTTGATTATAGTTTCAAAATTAAAAATTAAAATGGAAATTTTAGTTCAGAAATATTTTAGTTTAAATTTATATTTCAATTTATTTTTGTTAATGATATCTATCATTATATATGATTATTATCCAGTAACATTTTTTTTTTCTTCAATTCCTTAACAATTCTGAAGCACCATGATATACCTATCCGCTTAATACACATGATTGATAATAATTTAGCACAAATGTCTAATAATAATATCTTTCACCAATCATTGAATTTATTTCTATGTAGGTCTGTGATAAATTTTACTTAAATATATTGTGGAATAAGGATTCTATATTGTTGAAAACCTACATAGAAATATTCAATATTCAACTTTTGTATAATTTTGAGTCTATATACATTCTTATACATAATTCAATAACATTATAAATGATAAGTACTTCTATCCCATTCATAATTAGCTAATGCTGATATTAGATAGTTAAATTATAGATTTAAGTATTCTAATTGAGAGGCTAGTGCTTAAATATTTCAATTTTATAAATGACTTGTGTGTTTTTGGATGTCCTTAATAAGTTTTCATTTGTTGTTTGTTGTGAAGAGTATAATATAATATTTTATTGTAAGTAAATATATTTGTTCTCATTTTGACTGAGGTAGATCTTGTTTACATAATGTATGTTATCTTGAGTGATATATGACTGTTTAAGTAACATTATTGTAGAATATATTGTCGCAAAGTAGCTTTTGTATGTTGTTAAATCTATTTAATAATTTTGTATCAACTTTTATACACTCTTTTTAATCTTCCCTAGCACCCTTAGTAAGTTTATACAAGTATCTCGAAAATTATTATATAAGCATGATTTTGCTTATGGAAAATAGCATTAAAAATTTTTACTAGCATACCTATTTATAAGAATATTGTAATCATGATTAATTTACAATAATTGTATTTTCACATTCCATGTGAATTAAAATGGGAATAATTAATGTTTCGTCCATTTATGTGAATGATAACAGTTTTGTGGATTTGATATGTATTTGTACACCAGATGTAATGAAAAAAAAAATGGTTAGTTACCTATTTATAATAATGGATAAAACAATTGGAATGAATGACATGTTTTGAAATATTTTATCCTATTTACATCCTATTCTTAATATCTACAATATGCTTAGTTGCTGAATTCAACTATACAATATCTTGTTATAAGAATATAATTCACTTTTGTCTGTTAATATTTTATAATACCTAATTATGTAAGATCCTACCTTTATTGGCTTAAATGATAGTTATATAATATAGTAATAAGATATAACTTTGCCGCACAGGTATTTGATTATATTTTACACAAACAAATGTTTTAGTTCCTTGAAAGGTTCATTAGCTCATTTTCAATAATCTAGTCATTATTATATATTATTATATAGTTACACGAATTAATTCAATTGTTTTAGATATTGGAAACTATATTGCTTTTGTGAGCCGAGTTGTTTGTTGCTGAATGCTAACAAACATTTATTGCATTATGAAATCTAGTCATTAAATCCACTTCTTGAAATCTAGGGCCATCACTTAGTAGCACTAATCGAGGCGTAGCTGGATACTTAATGGGACCAAAACTATTGCGAATGGATGTGGTGGAAGCCAGTGTGTGTACTGTGTAATGTATTACTGGGGGCCGGGGGGTGTTTCGACGTCCCACTGGTTACGCCTTTGTCCTGTTATTATCAAACTAATATTTTACAGTTTTAACGATACCTTCCTTCTACGCCTTTAAAATAATATCTTTTAACCGGAGAGTGACGAAAATTTATCGTGCTTGTGCTTTTAATGTACCAAGTGACAGTTTTGATTTATCAAGCTAAAAATAAAACACCACACGCTATTTTGTCGTTTTATTTTTCTCTTCAACAAGTTTTACAATGCGATATCCTTATCAATATAAACGGAGGAGTAATTTCTTACTGTCCGTAGTTTGATATAAAAGTTAACAGGGGCTTCAAACAAATTAAAAATTAAAATTAATTAGTATTGAAATGATATAAAATACACAAGAAATTAAGACAGGAAATTTAAGTGAAATCCTCACTTTTAGGGCACTTCCCTTGATAAAAAGTCGAGTCTAGGAATTCTGGGCGTTGATATATCTTGCGACGTCCAGTTTTGCGGTCATCTGGAGGAGAAGGCTAAGATAGCTTCCAAAAAGTTAGGAGTGCTCAATAGGGTGAGACGATATTTCATGCCAGAACACCGCCTGAAATTATATAAAGCCCAAATCAGGCCGCATATGGAATACTGTTCTCACCTGTGGGCAGGAGCGCCACAGTACCAACTCCTTCCGTTAGACCGCATTCAAAGTCGGGCGGCTCGAATTATCGATAGTCAACGCCTTACTGTCCGACTTGACCCACTTAAACTGCGCAGAGATGTTGCATCTCTGTGCATCTTCTACCGAATTTATCATGGGGAGTGTTCTGAGGAATTGTTCGGATTGATACCTGCTGCTGATTTTCACCACCGTACAACCCGCCACAAACTAAAGTTTCATTCCAATCATCTGGACGAGTGGCGGTCTTCCACCGTGCGTTTTTCAAGGCACTTTCTTCCACGCATAACCATTCTTTGGAATCAACTTTCAGCATCCAGCAGTATTTCCGAACCGATACGACAACATAACCTTCAAGAAAAGAGTATATTCCTTTTTAAAAGGCCGGCAGCACACCTGCAATGCCGCTGGTGTTGTGGGTGATCATGGGCGGCGGTAGTCACTTACCATCAGGTGAGCCGCATGCTCGTTTGCCCCGTGTTGTAAAAAAAAAAAAAAAGTGAAACTCTAACTAGATAGGTCTAGGTAGAGACCGTCTAGATAAAAAATTGTATTCGACCGTCGCCACGCTTTTAAATACCGCTAATGGCTTAAATTTTATCCTATTTTTTTAATTTGATTGTTATAAAATGTGTAATCGAATTTCATCATATATTTCATAGAATGTGTTAGACATATGGGTAATATTAAACAGGTGGCTACGTACACCTTTATTAGATGATCCACCTCGTTTATTAAAGCAGTGTGTAACCGACCTCTGTGTTCACTTGTCGCATACCCAACTTAGCAATATACAATAGAATGAAAACTAATATAATTTAAAAATAATTTTACTATAATAATAATAATATTCCATAACATTTAAATTATTGTCTATTCGCGACGGTTATTACTTTTCAGCAAGTATATAGTCGGGTTTTTTGCCATTTTGTTTAAAAATAAAACTATAAATTGCAATATATTAACAATTCTATAAAGAATAACATTAATCAGTGACTAGCTAATCAGAAACCTAACTAAAACCTTAATACATCATAAAAAATCGTAATATTCATATTATTAATCATGTAAGATTATTTTCTTTTGACAAATGATTCATTTAGTTTTCGTCAGTTTTCATAAATTCATGGCTATAAAGTAGATTGTGTCATTTTTCTTAAAAAAAAAGAATAACTCGAAACATATTGTTGAAAATTATATATAAACAATAAGTTCTCACTAAAACACAGGTGATTTAATTTAACGTCTTCTATACATAAATTAACAGTTAGTTACTAAAAGCATTTAATATCTTTCAGCAATGAGGCTATAATGAAATAAAAAGCTTTCAAGCCTAGTCAGATGTATTTCTTCAATGATATTAATTACGTATTTTCAAATAATATTAATTACGTAAGAATTTCTACACCATTTTCTGTTACTAGAATGGTATGTTCCACTTGAGCGGCTCTAGAACCATCCTCAGTAACAACAGTCCATCCGTCTTCAAGTATAACTGTATGTTCAGATCCATGAGAAAGTACCGGCTCTATTGTAAAAGTCATTCCAGGTTTCATCACTCCAGGGTAATCATTCTCTGCCAACAATAAAATTAAACCATAAGAATACTTTAGCAATAGTATAGTTTTATAAGAAGAAAATGTACAATTTATAATAAAAATCTCTAGCTGTTTGCATGTCTTAAGTAAATGAACTTTTCCATTCTTTATCTAATTGAAATTAAAGGAAATAAATGTACTTAATGTAAATTTCAAATTTAGTTTTGAATAAATGTATTGGTGACTGTGTTTCATTATCCTTGTAATATTATAGGGTACTAAAGGTCTAAATTTATAAATGTATATACAAATAAAATTATATTGGAAAAACTGTTTCTGGTAAATAAATAGTTAAGACGTTATACTCAGATCAGCGCATTTTGAACGGTCCTAAATGATCCCTTGGATATATAATAGGATTCTAATAACTTTCCTATTAAGATTTAATACGATTTTATTTTTGCAATCAGTTCTCCCAAGTAGGCAAGCCAAGCTAACGAGAGAGAAATGTATGTGTACCTAATAACCAAGATGGTGAAAAGTGTGGATATGGAGCAGGCCTCTGTTGTTTTAAGTTTAGACCTTCAAGCCACAGCCAGACAATATTTCTAAAAATGTTTTTTTGTCATCTATTGGTTAATCCTTAAATACCTGAAGTTTCAAATTTGATACCAGGGTTATAAATCGCATTGGGCGTCTATAATCGATTTTATTTTAATATTTGGCTGTTTACATGTCACCAAATATTTTTTTCTAAATAAATACATAAAAATATCGTTTTGGTTTTTTTACTATTTTTCCCCATTAGTAAACACAGTAAAGGGTACACTTATATATTTTTTAATTTGATTCAAAAAATCAGGCTTTTAAGGGTTAAGACCAATATAAGTAGTAAACTATTCATATTATTTTTCTTAAATATACAGGAATACAGACATTGTCTTGTAACAATTTTATTTATAATTATTTTTATTTATTTATAAAATATTAATTCATCCTACTTTCTTGTTTTCTTTCCTATTTATCTACAGTCAGGTTGGTAAATTACCTGTGTGATAGATATCAGGAGGGCCATGAAAGTACTTTCCAATACCATGGCCTAAGAAAGCTGGTAGTACTGTGAATCCATTTCTCTTAGCATGCTGATATATATTTGCACCAATTTCAGTAAATGGGACATTAGGACCGCATGATTTTATAGCCTGAAAAATTTTGAATTATTGAATATTATAATATAAAACTTGAAATTTTAAAGTAATAATATTATTAGTTATTAACAAGGTAGGTAATAGTAATAAAATCTTACAATATCAAGACATTCCTCAGTAATAGCTATAAGTTGCAAGCCTCGATCGTCCACATTACCAACACAGTATGTTTTTGAACAATCACCATGGTAACCTTTAAAATATACCTGAAAATTGTAATATTTATAATAATATCATAATCTACCAGTACTATTACATATATTATATTATCATATTTAAAGAAAATTTCAAACCTACAAGTTGATCATAGGGTCGATTTTATAGTGCCCTTCAACATAGCTTACTAATAAAGTAACCAACTTTTATTTTTTTATATATAAGATGATTTTATTAGCATTATAATTTGTGGCAGTCCAAGCAATTGCTCAGAGCACAACACTGTCACACAACTGCACAATTGTCACTATATTTTTTATGCTCATCTTCAATGTATCGAACCTTTTATGACTTAATAAAATTATTGAAGTAAAAGGTACCTCATTAAAAATTAATATCCACTGAGTGCCAATGGCTCAAAACGTTAAGAAACAAGTAACATTCTGTAGTTCCTGTAATTTCAAAAGAAAAATAAAGGAGAAATTGAAATCTTACTAACATTATACCTTAGATTATGTCCTATTAACAGAAAATATATTTTTTTATCCTAATTGAAAAGACCAAAACCATGAAAAACTAGTGATATTTCCAAAGACTTACAGTTATATCAACATTGATAATATCTCCATCTTGCAGTTCTCTCAGGTCGGGTATACCGTGGACAGCAACATTATTCACAGATGTGCATACACTCTTTGGAAACCCATGATAATGCAGTGGTGATGGATATGCCCCTGCTTCAATACATAAATTGTGAACCACATTATCTATTTCGTCTGTTGTTACACCTGGCTTTTGACAATTTATAATAAAAATGTAAGTACACTTCAATATCAGGTGTAAACTGTATACATATTAAAATGTATATAGCAATACTTCGATAAATTTTAGAGATGAAATAATTAAAAATAAGTAGCTACAGAGCATAATACTAAAGAAATTTTTATATCCTACATTATACCAAGATGATCATAGGTATATGTCAATGCTGAATTATGCTGTCACTCTAGCAATCTAAGCTGACACTAAGAAGAAATCCCTTGAGACATGAATAATAATAATAGCATATATTTTATAACCATTTCCTATAGTTTGCTACTGTGCTATATATCAATATTATCAATATTAAATAATAAGATTTTACCTGAATAAACTGTTTTACTTGAGCTAAGATATCAGAAGCTAATTTGCAGCTTTTTCTCATTCCTGATACTTGGTTAGCATCTTTAACTTCTGGTATATGAGGTACTGTGATTGTTTGTCCTGTCACATAATATGGTCTAACAATATGGTCAGGCACAATTCTAGAAGGTGTAGTATCCAGTGGTACAACTTTATCATATACTCCAAATCGTAATCTAGAAAAAATAACACATTATTAATGTTTCAGTTTTATACAAGTAAACTCCTACACTAGGAGTTCTATATTTAAAATAATAATAAATACCAAGAATAGTAGATAATTTAATCTAAGCTATGAACTGACATATGCTACATGATGCTGTCTAGTCCCAAACTAATTACTCACGAATACAAACATTTGCACTATCTAGAGATTAAACTGGAGACTATTAAAAGATGTGGCAGGTGTTAAAAAATAAACAAACCTAAATAAATTAAACCACTAAGGTCATCAAATAATTTTTGTAAAAATTTACTATACATTATAATATATTACTTTTTTATTTACATGTATTGTATACAACAAACAGTATCTATAAAATATGTAAGATACCCACTAATCAAATATCTGGATAGTTATATAGAAGGATAGTATCAGCATCTAGACTGATATAGTTATATCCAAAATGTGATCTGATAATGATTTGTATTTTTAAAGAAGTGATCGTGTATATAATATAAGGATAAAATTTTGTATGACATTTTCGAAAACAGTTCTTCCGGAAGTCTACTTCAGTGCATAAAATTCGCGTTACACACAAGACATAAATATATAAATCCCCTCAGAAAAATACAAAGTTAATAATAACTTACATATTAGATCTCCAAAAACGGCCCACACGTCCAAATACTTTTGTTGGTAATTCCATAATGTAATAAAAAGGTACTATAGGTACTTAACAAAATTTACAAATTTGATAATAAAAATCCGATTTTTAAGAAATCATATTTAAACTTACTAAAATTGTAAGAGGAAAGTGTACAAATTATTCAAAAATATGATAACACTTATAAATAAAAAATATTAAAATTGTATATTATCGTCTGATTTGACAATATGAAAATAGACATAATAACACCGTAAAATGGGGTGAATAATTTTCAAAATTTGATATAGATTTTAATATTATCTTTGAATTAACATAAGGCAACAAATGTATTAATTATAAGGTTCTACACTAGTTTAATGTATTTAAATTAATGAAAATGCTGTTTATTTCTTTATTTGAAAGAAAAATATGAAAATTTTAGTTGTTTCTATTCACCCCAACCATGGGGTTAAATCGAACAATATACAGATGAATAAAAAAAATTGGTCCACGGCTGTCACCTTTGAAATTACATAAGTAGATTTTATAGTTATTATTTTATTATTAAAAGTTACTTATTTTGATGAATAAAACCAAATTTATAGTTTATGTTTAATTGAATATACACAAAAATATATTATGAAATAACTGACATAGATTTTTCTATTTGTGTTTAGCAGTGAGTAAATTTATATGTATCTTCACATTTAATTAAATATTGAGCTTTTTTATAAAGTTTTTACTGGGAAGAAATCATTAAAGAAAAATTTAACAGAAAATTTTAATTTCCCATAATTTTTTGTTAATTTGTTAACTTTCATTGGACTAATTCCAAGTAACCACAGATAAAATAACAAATTTATTATGTCTGTGGCGATACGTACTCAATCGATTCAACCATAGCAAACCTACCTATCTAAGGGCTACCTATCTAAGGGTTACGAGTCCGGCTTTTACTGTATTTCATCTTAGTTGTTGTTGATTAATATATGTTCATCTTTCCTGTAATCAGTTATTATTTTATACCTTATGGTGTATTTTGGAAACTATAGACGTTTTAAATATTTCTAAAATAAACAGAATTATTATTTTCAAAGATGTCGCAAAGTACGTGTATCCCATCATCATTACATCTTTACGTTTTGAAAACATTTAAAATTAAATTTCCTCATCGTTTTAGATTCTGAAAAGCCATCAAGTCAGGATGTCGCTGATCCAACAGGACCTGCAGGCCGAAAGGGTGTCCTTATATCTTTCCGAACAGGAAAGACTATGGAAATACCGGAAAAAGATATTGTAAGTAAACATAACCTATAATGTAAACAATTGTAGCCTATTCTATGCCGGGACCTGTAGGTCACCCCTTCCTTTCCCGTGGGTGTCGTAAGAGGCAACTAAGGGAGGGCGAGGGGTGGGTAGCAGCATCCGTCTTAAAACATTTCCAAAGCCTAACTGCGGTTGCCAAGCATGTTAACTACTAACAAAACCCCCCCTTATGGAGAGGCAATGTTCAGCAGTAGATAATTAACTGCTGATACAATAAACAATAGGAAACAAAATTTGCAAGATCTTATATCACTATATATTTAGATTAACACTGTATAACTTTGTTTCAGCTCGGGCGATGTAGATTTGTTGGAGAATTTGAAAAATTAAATCGCATTGGTGAAGGCACCTATGGAATTGTTTGTAAGTTACTTGGGTACCATTATAAAAAAAATAATATAATAGAGCTGAATAAATGAATCCATTGAAATGTGGTTTAGCTAAATTTCCTCATAATATCTCACTCATGAGACTTTTGGTGGAAATAATTGCATATATTAAATGAAAATACATAAATTTAAATACACTTTCACAGATAGAGCAAAAGACAAGTTAAGTGGGAATATTGTGGCACTTAAAAAGGTGAGAATGGATGTGGAGAAAGATGGACTTCCTTTGAGTGGTCTACGTGAAATACAAGTGCTCATGTCTTGTATGCATGAGAATGTTGTACAATTGAAGGAAGTACTTGTGGGTCGTTCATTAGAAAGGTAAGTAGTAATGTATTTTTTAAAGATTTTTATACCACATTAGCTGACCCAGCAAACAATTTGCTACCTATTGAGCCCATTTTTTTCTTATTGTGATAAAAATTATTTATTTAAATAACTTTATTGACTAAAATATAGTACAAAAGTTGGACTTAATGCTAATAGCATTCTTTACTATTAAACAATCCTATTTCTCGAATTGAAGCATTTACAAATCTTCAAGTATATTGATTGGTTAATTTGAATTATTTTGTATAATACTGTTACTTTTTTTCCATATATTATTACTACCTTGCCTTTGCCTTATATATTTACAATTTACTGTAAATAAAAGTTTATTAAAAAAATCTGAACACACAAAAATATTATATTTTAAACCAGTAATACATTGTATTTTTAGTATATTTTTATCTATGGAGTATTGTGAGCAAGACCTGGCATCACTTCTGGACAATATGTCATCACCATTCACCGAGTCACAAGTAAAGTGCCTTATGCTCCAAGTGCTTAAGGGACTCAAATATCTGCATTCAAATTTCATTGTACATAGAGATTTGAAAGTTTCAAACTTATTACTTACTGACAAAGGATGTGTTAAAATAGGTAAGTGCTATTTTTATTTAAGATACTTAATTGGATAAAAATTAATGCTGTATTGCTTAAAATCACTTCGTAAATAAGCCATTTTTACCCCTAAAATCTAAAGGATAAAAAGTGGTTATTGTGGGTTATTCTTAAGAGATAGACATATACCATCGCAGACTTTTTTTGTTGTCCCTTTTAAGGTGTACAATGCTGTAGTACATTGTTTTGATTTATCTCGTGGGGTTTAGCCAGTATTTGCAATGTAAACGCAAAAAAATGTGTTTATTTACAACATCACATTAGAAACCTCTAAATTTATCAGTGTTTCTCTAAAATATTATGCATATTCTTCTTGAATCATTCTATCTATTAGAAAATAAACCGCTTCCAAATCCGTTGCGTAGTTTTAAAGATTTAAGCATACATAGGGACGGACAGACAGCGACAGCGACTTATTTTATACTATATAGTGATTAATAATGTAGATAAGAAAATCCTTTACCTATTTGTAATAAACTTCAAAGTCCATGTTACATGTAGAGACATGGTTTTAAGTATATGTCAAAGGTAAATGTACATGTCACTTTTTCCATATAGAATCAAAATCTTGGTCTATATGACAGGGATAGTGAAACAGTCGATCATAACAAGGCAATAAAAATATAAGTTTAACATACTTTATAATAATGTTTATTATCTAAAAGATATGTACAACAGACTGAACAATGTAATCACCAACTAAATTGGTAGATCCTACTCACAATGTAATTGTTAGATTGCAGAAGATAATGTTAACAAACACTTGATCTTGGTTCTAATCAATTCTGCTATATGACATTAGACTATATATAAATACATTAGATTCTGTAGCTATATTACATTATACAGAAATTGTTTTATGTGTATACCAACTTTTATTTGTGACTTCATTTGCTTGACCGGGGTATGTTTACTAACCGGGATAAAAGTATCTTATGTTCTTCTGTTATATACAAAATTTCATAATGACTGATTAAGCTTTTAAGGTGTTAAGTGATAATAAACAAACTAATTTACATTTATAATATTAGTAAGGATGTACCTGCCTCTATTATCTTTATCTATGTTTATTGTTGTAGCGGACTTCGGGTTAGCCCGATGGCTAGGTGCGGCGGCGAGGAGTGCGACCCCGCGGGTGGTGACACTGTGGTACCGTGCACCAGAGTTACTACTACAGGCGCCGCGGCAGACTCCCGCTCTCGACATGTGGGCCGCTGGCTGCATCCTTGGCGAGCTGCTTGCTAACAAGCCCTTGCTGCCTGGTCGGTCTGAAATAGAACAACTGGAGCTCATTGTAGATTTACTTGGTAAGATTTTACAAAATATTACTACTTTTTTAGGGTTCCGTACTTTCATAAAAAGCCGAACTCTTTAAGAAAAGCCGAAAAAGCCGAATCCTTGTAGGCTCACTGCATTGTTCGTTCGTTTGTCACGACCTTTTTACTTAGAAACGCATGGAGATATCAAGTTGAAATTAATATCATATATTCAGGTCTTCAATCTCATAAAACAGTGAATAAAATCAAGTCTCTAAATTACGCAATCAAAAGATACGGTCGTTTATGTTCCGTTTTGACATTCGCAAAGGGAATCAAAACCTATAGTATACTTCCCGTTCACCTAGAATCATGAAGTTTGACAAGAAGCAATATCATGTAGCACAATTAAAGAAAAAATCCGAAAATCGTAAATTTGTAGTTATTTCACAAAGATACAAAATTTAAACTTGATGATTTTATACGGAACCCTTGTTGCGCGAGTTTTACTACTCATTGTATTTTTTACAAAATTAGTGTATTCGTGAGATATTTCCCTATTCAATATCCTAGATATATTAGAGTGCTATATTAGACATAAAAATCAAGGGATAAAATCCTTAGACAAATGTTTTGCCTTCACTATCATATCCCATTTCATATTTATTCTTTTGAAATGACAACTGCATAAGTTGACAATAATAGTAATAAAACATGCAGTTTTTTCATTGTCAAGTATCAACAATAAGTGCAACACTTGCAATACTCCAGGCAACACATACCAACCAACTTTGAACACCTTTTTTTGTTGCTAAAGGGACCCCGTCTGATGCTATATGGCCGGAGTTCAGCACTCTGCCGGCTCTGCAAAACTTCACATTGAAGCAACAACCTTACAACAACTTGAAACAACGTTTCCCATGGCTATCGGCTGCAGGGCTGCGACTACTTAATTTCTTATTCATGTACGACCCCAACAAACGTGCCACTGCCGAGGAATGTCTACAAAGTTCATACTTCAAGGAGCAGCCATTACGTACGTATACAAAGTCACTACTTATAGTACCTGTATAATTTAAAATAGTATTTTTTTTTTTTAAATATAGTAATGAACACCTATTTACTATAATATTAATAAGTATCATAAGAACGTAAAATCTTAGTGATAATCTTAGTACGTGAGGAGTTTTTTATGTCTACTTTTTACTGTAGACATGATACACGAGTTCTTCCCTAAGTGTCAAATGAATTTGATTATTTCTTACAATAACTTATTTTTCGTTTTGTGTTATAAATGTTTTTTGTTACATTATTTCATACATAAACTTGAATGGTGGAATTGGACATTGTTATATTATATAAAATAGATACCTAATCTATTGAAGCTCGAATGATCGTCTTCAAGATGAACATTATAAATACTTTGAAAAAGGGAAATAATTACAAAACGTATATTAAATGATTTGAATTCAGTGTCACTAGCTGCTCTTATAATTTAATGTAGCGACAATTGTTTAAAAGAGGAAAATTTTGAAATTTTTTTGTAAATAGTTTCATATAACACATTTGAGTAATATGATATGTATGTAACGTAATTTTTCTTTGTTACAGCGTGTGATCCTAAACTAATGCCAAGTTTTCCTCAACATCGAAACATGAAAGGGCAACAAAAGAGTTCGTCCAATCAATTGAACATACCCTTGTCAAACTTAAACACAGGCGCCAATGACCAAACAAATAATCTTCCCGCCATTTCTGATCTTTTAGGATCTCTAGTCAAGAAACGAAGGTTAGAGTAAACTGAAAGTTTAGATTAAGATGTCGTATTTTAAGTCTCAAATATAAATTCATGTAATTTGAAATACGTTGTTTTATTATGAACATTTTCATTGTAGACTTATATTTTTAACCAATTTAATCGAATGTTTGCTTAAGTTACTATTTTTTTATATCTTTTACGCATCAATCGGTTGATGATTCCTCATCGCCAGATAGTCCCATAGCCTGCCTAAATTTCTGATACTTTTGCAATGTAATTGCGTCGTTGTTCTTTACTTTCAATTTTTCTTTCTGAAAATAAAAATGATTATAATCAGATTAAAAAATTAGTTTTTGATTGTATTTCAAGCATTTTATATAAAACTAGCTTTTACCTGCTACTCCGCTCGTGAGTAAAGCAAAAAGTAGCTGATATACTTCTCAAATATTACGTGTATACCAAATTTCATATTAATTGTTCAAAATTAGTTAGTGTCAAAAGGTAACAAACAAACTCATTTTCATAGTTTTAATAAATAGTAAAGAATTCTAATGTTGCTAAGGATAACATAATATGCAAGAAAAGAAAAAGTTAGGGTAAAAAATAAATCTTACGATGTCTTTTTCTTGTTTCTCAATATTTTTTAATGTTCGGACACATTGTGAACACAGTATGACATTTTCCATTTGATTCACAGTCTTTTTGCGATGGTGATGTTTCAAACTAGAATAAAATATTAAAAAAAAAAAAAATAGGATTAGTTAGTATTTTTATTTTTGCATATTTATATTCAGTAAATAATCTTAGTATGACAAATTGTTTATTTAAAAATAATTACAATTGTGTTCCAAAAACAAAATGAACTGACTTCTATTGTGGCAAAACTTGTTATTTGGATTTAAAAATTTAACTACTAAACCGATTTTATAACAATCTGTATCTTTTTCGACAAAAAAGAGTTTTCAAAATTGGTTTATATCTGAGGGAATTATGAGGTAATGAACTTAAAAAAAAATACAACCGAATTGAGAACCTTCTTTTTGAAATCGGTTGATAAACGATCTTGGTATGATGAAATTTTTTATTTAAAGATAAAATCGCCATTATACCTAATATTAATATCATTACTGTTGTTACCCACATTTTACCACAATAATCACACTGCTGTTTATCGGTGCGGTGTGTAATAACATGCCAGCCAAGTTCGTGGTAGGTGGGAAACCGTTCCGAGCACCGTGGGCAGATTATCTTGCCATCTGATCGTCCCCCATTGCTCTGATGGTCAATAAGTTCTTGTGATGATTGAAAATTTTGATGGCAACTTGGACACCTACAATTATTAGAAGAACTTAGGTATTGTAATTGTAAAATCTTTAGAGTACATAATTTACATTGGACACATTAAAGAGATACAATGGCGGACTTATTTCATAGAGGGATCTCTTACAGTCAACCTTTGAGAAGCTGAAAGAAAACCTTAAAATGTATTGGTTTAATTCATACTGCTAATGTCGTAATAGAGCCGAACGAATGATGAGCGTAACATGAATATTACAGAATTATTACAGAAACAGGTAAGACGGTTCAAACGACCCCTTTAAAGAATTCCGTACTAAAGATATTTAAGGTACAAAGGAACCTCTAAGATGCGACTTTATCCATCCATCTGTTTGGTACAGTGCTTTGTCTCGACAATTAAAAAAGCTATTGAATTAAAATTTGGATTAATTTTAAACATCACTGACCCATACAAACAAATACTTAGACAAATATTTTTATTTTCTTTACCTCCTACTAAAGGAGTGCTCATAATTTCAAAATGATCCCTCTAGTCCAAGTGGGGAGGGGGGAAAGGGATTGTTAGTAATGGGATCTAACAGTTCCATTGCTAGCAATGTACCCTATGAAGTCGACCTCTACGCGGTTCCCCCTGGAAACCATCGTGGTTAATTTTCACGGAATTCTTCACGATGGGCTAACTGACCTGCTTTCACCCTCACCTATCACCTTCCACTGGTGCCCCGCCAGCATATACGGATAGCGCAGGCGGGGTTAACATTCCATTATCATCCATTAAAAAAACAGTCCAAGTGGGGTAACATATAACCCTGTCATTATTTTTTTCATTCTAAAACCCGTTAGGTTAATGGTTTTAATGTCCTATTTATCAAAAGATTTCTCGAGGTCTAATTATTAAAGTAATATATCTTACATGAATATGTTTGGTTGAAGATGGAACGCCATGTGCTCGATAATCTTCTTCGGATAGAAGTAATGGAATTTTTTCTCGCAACAAGTTACGTAGCCAGGTACACCGTGACGATCTTTATAATGTTTCATTAATGATCTAAAATTAAAACCCTTCTCGTGGCAAATACAACATTCCATTTTGTAAAATAGCGTAATTTGTTTATCAAGAGCGGCTCCCTGTTTGGCGGGTCTGCCGTTTATTAGAACTACAGGATCCAAAGGGTCGTTCACTAAATCTCTTGATTGTGATGTACTAGTGCCTTTTTTACTTGCTTCCTTTGTGATAACATTCTGTACGGGTGTCTTATTGGCTGATGAGGTGCTGTTTAGCAAAGATTTGTCTACACTCTCTGTCTTTGCAAATTCTTCTAGAGGCATTGCTTCCATGAATTTCATATCCGATGGAGATTTATTTTTTGGGATTATCTGTTTCGTTGGTTTTGCGTCACCTTGCTGGAATTCTGTGGGTGGTGATTTAGGTAGATTGTTTATTTTTTTATTTGTATCTTTAAAGTCGTGCGTCAATTGTGTTATTGCGGGTTGCATTTTGTTATCGTTAGTTTGTTGATCTCGTTTTTCTTCAATGTTTTTCATTTTATGAAAATCGAGGAATTTCTGTGTTCTTTCGACCTTAATGGTATAAAGATGAATCAAGCTTACTTGTTGTAGACAATCGTGGCATATTGCTTTTGGGAGGTTATCATCTGTACGGATCTGTGAATTTAATATTCCTAAGTAGTTATAGACATAGCACTAAGTAACACTAATTACTACTTACTATATATATTTATTTATTATTATAACAGCCGTTAATTATCCACTGTTGAACATAGGTTTCTTGCATAAGGGGGATTTTGCCAGTAATTGCCACGCTTGGTAGGTAAGTTAGCAACCACTTTGGTGATGTTTTAAGAGGGACGCTGCTGCCCATCCCTTGATCATTAAGCTCATCAACAAATAGGTATCTATCTTTAGTTGTTGTATTTTTTCATTTTTTATTTAATTAAGAGTTGCAACAAGAAATGTTAAGTGTTTCAACTTCAATGTAGTAGAAAAAAAGAGAATAGGAAAAGTTCAATTCTACTAGACTACTTAGTTTTTGCTCGTCTATTTGACGACGTTAAGGAGAATAAGGCTATTCTGTGTAATAAGAAAATAAGGCTTGTGATTACATAGTTCCCGTTCTGTGTTTTGGAGCTTATATTTTTTTACTAGGTAATTACCTATTGATTTAAAACACTGTCCTTAGAGAAGATAGATACTTTATGTAGATAAGATACGTATAATTATCTTACAATAATATCGAAGAATCTCTTAATTTTCCGTTTCACTTCGGCATTAAGTGGCTTGAGTTTCACAACATCGTTGCACAAACACAAACGACATGACAATTCACGCACTATCGTCTTTTCTAAATTTGCGAAGTCATTCATACTGTTGATTTAAAAAAAAATATTGCACGCTATTATAAAATCGTGTAAAATAGTGCTCTTGATTTATATGATTTATCATGACAAAAATATTATTTTTGAATCAATTTTTCTACTTAATCTGATAATTTTGGTGAATGTGGCAAGGCCATGATTGTTTAGTTTTTATTACGTATCGAATGGTGGCCAGTATGAAAGTATCGCCTCTTGTTTGTACCTACATAAATTGATCATACATTAATATTTACTATGTATCATAGGTCTGTGTAAGATGCTTATCTAACAAAATTTGTAAATGACTAAGAACAGTAAAAAAGTGACCTCCCACGTATAGAAAACAATCCCGGGATCCCGAGTGACAGTAACGGGCCGTTACATATGCAGCTATAATTGTATATAAATTTATTGTATAAATTAAAACAATTAATTAAAAAAAATTTTTTTAATGACCACATACACAATAAAATTATGTCATTGTTAATCAATTGTAATACAAGATTTTAATCTTATTCTTATTTCAACTTTCTACCAAAAAACTTCTTCCATATTACGAGTAATATAGAAGAAGGTTGATGACATAATTTTAATTATTTATCTGTGGTCATTAATTATTTGTTTTAATTTATGCAATAAATTTATATATAATTATTATAGCTGCATATGTAACGATCAGTTGCCTTTGTCATTCGGGATCCCGGGATTTGTGTTTTCTATTCCAACGACAAGTGGTAACTGTTGGTAATAGACATGAATACCACATGGATGTCACTGAATAATTACACCATGACAATCATGAAGTATTTACACTTGAGATATTGCCATTATGGTGTAATGACTGTTATCTTTACTAATATAAATGTGACTCTGAATTTTTTTTATACAACTTAGAATAGCAAACAAGCTGACGGTCCACCTGATGGAAAGTGGTAACCGTCGCCTATAGACATGAGTAGTACCATGGACATAACAGACTATACTGTTTCGCCTATGATACCCCCCATGCGTTGCCATTCCTGAGGACTCAGGTGTTATTCCTTTGTACCCTGTAAATTCACGCCATATCCCACCCTTCAAACCGAAATACAGCCATGCAAACACAACTGCTTCACGGTAGAAACACGAATGGGACAGAGGTACCCAAGCAATCGACTTATGTACAAAGTCTCTCTCTGGTAAAAGTAGAAGTTTGTTTGTAACTTAACTAATCACTATAAAAAATTATATACACGTACTATATGGCGTAAGAAAGACACCAGCTACGTTTTATCTCAGTCAGTAAACACATACCGGTTATGCGCAAGAAGTTGCAGGTAAGAGTTAGTATATACACTGGCGGGATATTAGTGAACGATGATAAAGTTGATAATTGGTCAGTTGGTCCATCATGACGAATTAAACAAGAATTACTGACAATCGTTTCCAAGAGGAACCGTGTGAAGGTGGACCTCAACGCGGAGGTTCCTCCTCCTTCTGAAATGATCGACAGGGTATACTGCTAGCAATGAAACTCCTAGTCCCCTACAATAACAATACTTTCCTCCTGATCATCATAATTTAGCGTAATGATTAGATTCATTACACTATATTATATGATATGAAGATATCATGAAGCATATTCTAAAACAGGCAAGCATAACTTCAAAATAGCAATAAAATGTTTCTACAAATTAAAATCGAGTTGAAAACAGCGTGCATCGCTGTGCAATCACACATTTCAAATAGCGAAGCGCGAGCTATTAGAAGTCCAACCAAGTGGAAAGGAGCACGAGTTCTGTATGAATTTTTTAAAATCTCGTAAAAGTTTTTATAAAATTCTGTAGTGATTCAAACTTATCATTCGCTATTTTACCATTACCTATGTAGATTTTTAATCAACTCAATAATATTTGCGTGTATTACGTCCAATATTTATGTAATATGTATTAATTGATGATATGCGTATTTGGTTCAAATCAATATTATCAGCAACTGATTTATTAGTACGTATGACATTGAATAACTTAAACATCTCCTATACGTATAAGAGGTATTTATTTAATTTCATTACAGGTATATGTATGTAAGAGGGATTCTTTTCCAAGTTATTGCGTACGTGAGCAATTGACTATAATGGAGTCATATGGGTTATGATGCGACATAATGTTGTGTTTTATTTTGACGGATAAAAAAGGTCCTTGAGATGTACCTACTTGTTTAGACAACCAGGTGCATATTTAAATCTCCTAATAGTGGTTATTAGGTCATTCTAACTTAACTAAATAATAATTTGGTCGTCTATGAGTTATAGCACCGATGATAAATATAATAGTTAAGTACTTGTCGTCTTGTCTTATTCTCAACGCCAGACGTCTGACATTGGGCTTCGTTTCGATCGATTTACTCCCTGAGGATGCTTAGTTTTGTAGTGAAACATTTAGATGATTATGTTGGGATTTTTTAATGGATGAAGATGAAGTATACCAGACGGGTGCACCCAACATTGCCTCAGTTCACTTGGATCTAAAACAGGATAAGCCAGATATGTAGCAGCAGTGAAGAATGAAACAATGAGTTTTAATTAAGCCTGTGTAGGTTTAGTTATAGAATCTAGTATGGAAAGTACTATAAAAAAGTTAGTTGAATTTCTTGAATAATTCATTAATTAGTTATGGAAATAATTTTTTTATAAATAACTGGCTGTTTTGCGGGGCGTTGTCCGTTATCAGTATGTAAATTATATTATATATTATAGTATTTAGTTAGGATTTATCCTACTAGTGTACCAAATTACATTTAAATCTATTCAACTGTTTAATCGTGATTAAGTAACAAAAATCTTTACAAATAATAAACTCAAATAAAGGTAGATTGGTTCTACGTTTACCTTTGTACCGTAGTAGATAGAATAGATCTTTTTTGCAGAATCCGATAAAAAACAGCACGAGTAACGGTACCACGATGGTTCCGGAACTACTGAGCATTCAACATTCCTTATTTCCGTTCGTATCTACAGGTAGGTAGGTATGTATTAATTTTATATGATTTGGGCTTTTCTATTTATATTTTCTATCAGAAACCACGATATTTTGAAATTTATTTTTTAATGGTACCAATATATAACCACTTTTAGAATGAGAAAAAAATATTCAATTTTTCTTTAATTTATAAGTTAAATTTTTAAGCACCTCCAGACGATATGGCAGTGAATTTACAGGGAAATAACACCTGAGTCCTCAGGAATGGCAACGCATTGGGGGTATCATGGGCGAAACAGTATACTCTTTTATGTCCATGGTACTACTCATGTATATAGGCGACGGTTACTATTTTCCATCAGGTGGTCCGTCAGCTTGTTTGCCATTCTAAGTTGCATGAAAACAAAACCTAATTAGACCAACATTTATATTTTTTAATGCGTGAAATGCAGCATTTTCTCACATTGCCGTTATTTGTTTACTTGGTGTTTTGTCATTATAATAGCAGATGGACAAATGAATGGATGCATTCATGCAGTCCATCTGTTTGCACACGTTATGATCTTAGATAAAACATTGCTGTGGAGTCGTTGTTTCCTGTCTGTCTACAAAACTTGAAACTATACATATTATTACACGAAACAGTCAGAACGTTGAATATGTAGGTACATTTAAAATATACACAATACACAATATATATATATATATATATATAATACATACGTACTCAGTAGTTATATCTAAGAACAATTAAATTTTTACTGTATCTCGGATATTGTTCGTAAAAGTATTAAGAACTAGCCGTTTCCCGCGGTGTAGCCTGCTTTTTTTGAACCAATTGAAATAAAGCTACATGTTAAGTGGAGCAAACAGCAACATATTAGTTAAAACTGCATTCAAATCGGTTAAGCCAATTCTGAAATTAGCGCCCACAAATATACAAAAAGACAAAAATTCTAAAAATCGTTGTATTGAGTTCCACTGCGTTCATAAGGCCCCCCTATAATAGTTTTTCCTACATACCTTCTATGTACAGACAGCGACCAGTTATGATTAAACTCATAGATATGGCAAAACTCATGACTGTGATAGCTACTTTTATAAATTAACTAGTAACCCAGCCCGGCTTTGCACAGGTAGATAGAGTTTTCGAAAATAATATATAGCCTAGGTTACTTGCTGAAAAAGCTTTATATAGTTGAATTTTTTTTTAAATCGCTTGAATTTTCAATTAATCTATTACAAACAAATTAATAATTAAGTCTTTTCTCTTTACAATATTAGTACATCTTATTTTGTGAGGATCTTCTCAGTTGCATTCAATTGCATAATAATTTTTATATCTACTATTTAAATTATCAAAAATTTTACCCTAAAGACATATTACATATCAACCCAAAGTATTCTAATTCTATCGTATTTATTATTGATAATGGTCATTAATTAAAACTTCGATTAATCAAAATACTTATCAACATATTAATAAGTTAAGATTCATAAATGCGGAGTTATGCATTAAAAATATTGTCAGCTTAACTTATCTATTACTATATCTAAATTAGTGGTTACCTAATACATACTAAGTATTACATGCTCAATGCGTCCTTTGTATTACAAAGGATAACAAAAATCCTCATCTTTGCAGAGTAGTCCATCATTAAGAAATAGAGAACAGCACTACACAGAAATAGCAAAATAATGGACAATTCGCGAAACTCTTGTCTCCATTTATTATTACGAAGGAAATAGGATTTGTCAGTTTATATTATCTCCAACATGAAGGGGTATCTTTAACATAATAACTTTAGCGCATTCGTTTCGTATAGACGCCTACAACGTGACATTAGAACTTTCTCTGAGATTTGAAGGGACCAAATGTTGTTATTGGGGCTGCTTTAAGTCTTGCTCATATATATCCTGGTCACGCACATTGTCGCAGTGCACGTTAATTGAATGGGGTGCTTCTCTCTAACCTATTTAGATGCCCCGAAGATAGGTCTGAAAGAAATCTTACAATGATGTTTCGTATCTATTCGGGTGCTGGCCACTTGAAAATTCAGCTACCGTTTTTAGTTTTATTACAAATTAATTTCCACGGCTTTACTGTTTATACAAAGTATCCTATTTGTTAAGTTAGAATATAACCTATCCGCGTATAAAATTTTATTCAAATTCATTCTGTTATATAAATATAATATAAATAGATATAATTTAAATATCTCAACATCTTTATAAACTTTCATATTTATAATATTAGCAGGATAAACAAAATAACGACATTTATAATTGACTATATTTAACTTTTATGTACAAACATAA